ACCATTCCTAAGACTCAAGTTTATCAAATCTTCTGTATGAATTTATTTATGTATTCAAACGAAAAGCCAGAGCAATACAACATTCCAAAAAATAGAAATTGTTTTGCGTTGGTATGAAAAAAGGTGTTTGTAATGGGCTTTGGGGCACTCTTACCGCATAAATTCATAAGCGAATTCGATTTTCGGCCCCTGAAATTTAAGTTGCTTCCTTTAGCTACTGATATTCTCGACATAGTTCGGCCACGTTCGCTTGCCGCTGGCTCTGTAAAATAATATACGTCGATTTTGTCAACATGTGAAGAGTAACACAACGAAAGAATTGGACCAATGACTAGATATTACTAGACAATGTATATGTATCTAAGGGCAATTTCACGATCATCAAATTGAAGTTCGATATTTGGTCGCATGGTTTTTAACGTTGATGCAAGGTTTACACTGTGCTACATCAACTCTTGAGCAAACGTTTGTTCAATTAATCTTTCATAATTCGAAGCTTGGTGGAAGCCATTTTTATTGATTGGAACAAGTTTTCGAAATAATCAATTAATCATTAACCCAAACTAAGTAAGATTAATTATTCAAACGCTTGCCCTAAAAGTGCAAGCACGGTGTCGTGTTACAAATTAAAATCCCAATATTGCTCATCACACTCATACACGAAAGTCGAAGTATTGAAAAAAAAAATTAACTTAAAGTTATGTTCTTTCATATTTTACATGAATTTAATCTCTCAACTAAAAACTATTAAGGAATTAATGTCAGAAAAAAGTGTTTTTTGATTAAAGGAAAACATTTTACAAATAAAGATTAACTGTTATATAGCATATGTAGTACATATTATGCACTAATACATTATATGCAAATATGATGTTTTCTGGCATGCATTTTTTAATATACCATGCAGTTGAAAGGAAAGGGATACTGAAAAAATATCCATATATATAATGAAACCAGTGCCAATTATCATCTCAGATAATTGACATATAAATATTGATTAATGCCATTCAAACACACATGCGCGCCAGGATTTTCCGGTTTGAACACCTGAGCTGAGACAAATTTTTCAAAACCCCCGGGTAAATTTCTGGAGACCTCCGGTAGAAAACTTTTTTCAGATTTTCCAAATTAATCATACATGGGCACAGGGAGGGGGTGTAAGACCGGATAAACCCCTTAAATTGTTATTTTGATTTTTATACCCCCCTCTCGAGACCAAAGTCAATTTGAACAACAACCATCCCCCGATCAAAAACCCGGGCGCATGTGTATCCAAATATAATTTTATAGATTTTAAATTTCGGCATATTTCGAAATGCAATGAGAATGGGTAAGAACAATTATGACCTTAAATTTTTCTTTAAAAATACTGAAACATGACATGTATTTTTTCAGTTTCATTGGTGAGCATGCGGAACGTTCCGAAAATAGTTTGTACCGCGTTGCAATGTATAGGTTTCACAACAGCAACGCTGTTCACTCATTTCAGTATTCTTCAAAGGAAGATTGGGAGTTAATTACTTCTTCTTCCATTCATATCAACATTCAATATAGGACGTAAATATTGTCGATTCACTTAAATTTTAGAAAAACATCCTCGTCAATATAAAGAACTAAAAATTTGGACTTTATATACTAACATTCCAAATGGTTTTAACATCACAAAGCTATTAGGATAAATATTTTTTTAAATGTCTTTTATGCTTGCGAATATTTGTGTGCGATGTAAAAAAATTAAAAGAAAATAATGCAAAAAAACGAGTTTGCTTACTACTACAGACTACTACGCCTTTGATTTTGCCTCTACATCAATATAACACATAAGCTGGTGTTGGCCAAATGTATAGTTCAATGTAAGAAACAGAATATTCGTCTTTTTCTTTTAATTTTTTATTAACCCGCTAACCGGCAAGTCCAAAGGCGAAAAAAAATTGGACCCTTCATAAAAGAGAATGCCAATAAAAAATATTAAGTTTTGGCCTTAGCTAAATACCATTAACGATAGTTTAAGCGTGTTTTAGAATGTTTCATGTAGTTTTTTAAAAATGCGTCATTGTGGCGCATTTTTTGGAAGGCTGCCTGTAGGCCGCCTTACCGGTTAGAGGGTTAAGATAATAGCGAGCACGTGGAATGTCATTATTTGAACATTATTGCAAGGTAGTGCCCCCTACTGGAGCGCCATTGTATTATAGTAATCAATGAAAAGCAGTATCTCCGATAAGCAAAGTGTATTGTATACGGGACACGAATATTGAGTTCATGTATTGTAAAGAATACATCCCAACAACAAATACATGCGATCTAACAGGGTGCGCTGTTTCCAACATATCAAACATATTCTACGTGCCCGGATAATAGTGAAAAATTAAAGAAAAAAAATTATTCATTCGAAAACAAACAGGTTTCTGATGTTATGTTTTTATGTTGTCTACTGCCCTAGTTTATCAAATGAAATCAAACCTATTATTATTAATATCACCGGAATCCAATAATTTAAGATAAGTTACCTAGTAGTAAACGAATCTGTTTTGGTTCAAGGATAAGTTTTCATGAACTGTCCATATACCAAACGCACGATTTTAATCGTAATCAAGAAATTTTTAATTTAAATAGCAACAATAAAGTTGACAACTATTTTATGTGAATTGAACAAAATGTCTAAAATTTATGCATACATTTTTTAAGATTTATAAGTCCGTCACATGAATTTAAAAAAAATTAACAAGAGTATGAAATAATTAATACAATGTGAGAAAATTATGAAAATATGTGCAAAATTAGCAGAAATATAAATAATTTGAGAAAAAAATTATTTTTAGCCAAATCTATTTAAAAAAAACATCGAGTTTGAGTTTCAATTATATCAAATGACAAAAAAAGGTTCCCAACAAGCGTGCTCTTGACTCTGAGAAAATACAGATGGGAAAACTAAAATAAATAACAGCAAAATGCCATTTTAACATGGACATATTTTCTCACATGTTTGTGACTGCGAAATATGTTATATTTTGATAAATGAAACAAATTTTTTCGTGTTGATATATTAAATCAGAGTAGAAATAAAAAAATGAGTGGTTTGATGGAGAAATATATGTTAAAAAAATTATTGGAATAAAGGGTGTTTTTTTAAGAGGTTGAGGATTTCAAATTGATATAAATCATATATTTTTCTTTATTTTAATCGTGAAAATTGCTTCATTTGGTAGATAAATTTATACCATTTATGTTTTAAAAATGATTTCGGAAATATGGTCACGACGGGTACGTTTCACATAGACCAGTCGGTCAGTCTATTTTTAGCCACTTTTTAGGACGTTTTAGGACATCGCTGGCAATAACTCGAGAATAACGCGATGAACATTGGCCTTAGAAGTGCTTGATCTTTGTTAGCTTATCGGCATTTACCATACACTTCAATTTGCTGCACAAAAAATATTCCAGGGTCATCAGATCGCACGAAGAAGATGGTCCACCAAAATGCGATAATTTGCTTTAAAATCAAGGTTTTCGACAAATCGATCGTTTCAGCCACTGTTTGGAAAATTTTGATTTTTTATTGAAACTAAAATGGCTCTGGAGGATGACTGACAATATTTGGAGGCAAACAGTCATCAATAATGGCATTCATGGTCGTAATGTTGACACCAGGTGAAATTTTAAGAAAAATGTATCAAAAATGCCGTTTACCATGTCTTCAAATGTACCAGAATTTCTTTTTTTCAATCCCATTTTTCAAAGATTTTAGAATCTAGTATGATCAAAAAATTGACAAAAAAAGGACTGGCTAATGGGCCTATGAAAAAAAGTAGCCATTGTGACTATATGCCAGAAATCTTTTTCAAATCATAAATGGCAGAGATTTTTCTACCAAATAAAGCAATTTACACGATTAAAATAATAAAAAAATGTGATTTATATCAAATTGAAAAAAAAAAATACTTTTAAATTATACAAATATATAAATTAACGACAAAATGACATTTTAACATGAACATATTTTTACTCGCAAACAAAACTGCATCTTATTACTTTGAATTTTCCCTTCTATATTTTCTCAGACCATGAGTGACGATTTTATGCTCGATGGTAAACCACAGCGAATTATAGGTTTGTCGCTGTTAGAAAACGAAACATTGTAGATATAATTGTAATTAATGTGAGATTTCATTAAAATATACACAAGAGATAAACCCAACAAATTATTATAGGATTCCTATTAAAAAAATTAATTTTTAAGGTTTCCTTATAATCCTAATAAATTAGCGCGCCCAAACATCAAATCCAACTTCACTGTATTGAAACAAAACATGTTTTATTATTTATAGGTTTCCTGATAAAAATGTTCTCATATTATAAGGAAATCTTACAAATTAATATTTTAATATGAATCCTAAATGATTTTTCAGGTTTATTTCTTGTGTGTATAACACTTCGATAGAAAAATCTCAATATTTATATGGTGGTGTTACATTTCAATGAAATCTCAGGAGAAGTCTCATATTAATTCTCGCGTATTCATATAAAAATCATATTCTCATAACAAGATATATTTAACATTGATTTAATAATTTAATTTTATAGCATTTTTGATCTAGAGCATTTATATTCGGATTTCATTCTCAAATTTATATTTCTGGTTTTATTGCATGCATTTCAATCATTCTTGTTTTTCCCTTTATCCTATGTGCCAAAATAATATTAACCCATTCCAAGCGACAGTCCCGTCTGGAACCACCGTATCTAATGGAACAAAGTGGAACCATCTATGTATTTCACAGAAAACGATCTAAATTTTGGTCTATACGAGGAAGTATTTACAATAATAAAAAAGTGGTGCAAGCAAAATTAAAGCGAAATGTCGCCGCTTGGAATGAGTTAAAAAAAGTGAAACAACCCATCACCAACCTCTAGATGTTTTGTAAGACCCACGGCGACCAATTGGCGTTGAACTAGTACTATGAAATTCATCTGGGGATTCTAAATGAGATAGAAATGAGATTTAGCACCACATGACAAAATGAGAATGTTAGCAGCTTATTTGGATATTCCATTCAAGTTCAAAATGAAAAAGTTAAGATTAAATAGATAGAAAAGCCCATTGACACTCATTATATTTACACAATCCGATTATGTTAGAATACGTGGATTTGAATTCTTAGACAATTTTTTTAAAATTAAACACAAATTAATTAATATTCAAATAAGAAATCGTAATAATACCAAATAAACTATGTATCAGTTTAAATCAGTAATGTGCAATCAAAATTTTCCAGGGGGATGATTTAAAAAAAAAAGATTTTTGATTCCACTTGGAAAAACCACCCTTCGCATATTACTGCTTTAAATAATGTACAAATCTGAATCACAATATTAGATTTACAGACATAGAATATCTGTCTGGAAATAGCGGCCAAGTGGATGCGGTGTCTACGCGTACATCGAAATTGTATATCTTATAGACATTCAAGTTGTTGCTGTACGCTAAGTTGTTCGCTTAACCACCGCAGTCAATGCGTTCTGGAAATGCATCCACTTGGTCTTTATTTCTGGCCGGATATTTCCAGCATCGCATTTATACAGAATAATCATTGGTCTGTTCTGAAGTACAGATTTACCAGCATTGAACTTGTAATGTTACTAACGATTACATTACCATGAAAGTTGAAAATATATTTACAATAGATGGAGTTTGTGTCTGCTCTAAGCTCAGCATTGAAATTGATTGGGTTGATGAGAAATTTCAATGATGAGCTTAGAGCAGACAAAGACGCCATCTATTGTAAATATATTTCCCTAACTTAAAGCTGTATTGAAAAGTCTTATTATTAATGTTGGATTTTTGACATTAGCGGAAGCATTGAGTAACACATTATTATTGTAACGAAGCATTGCCAGTAATCATCCCCCGATAGCAATTATCAAAAATATGACTTTTCTGCAAAACGTTGCCAGCGCCATCTGAGAAGCATGTGACAGCTGATATTTCAATGTCATTTCGATACAAAATGCGTAAACAAACCGACGAACGCACAGAAAAATTATTTTTATGTTGCTTCTGTGGCATATTTATTGAGAAAAATAAAGATAATCTAGATCGCCATGAACGACTTCACGCGGATAAAGTCAAAAAATATAAATGTTGTGCAAAAAATTGTGAGTCAAAATTTACAAACAAAGAGAACTATTACGTGCATTGGCAGAAACAACATAGAAAAAGTGTGATACCGGACTGTTTAAATTTTTTTTTATGAGAAACCACAATTGAAAAAACGATTATTTAAAATGCGTGAGGCCAAAATACAAATTAAAAATTGTGAAAAGCCAATTAGCTATGAAATCTTACAAGCTGTTGGCTTATTACAAAATGCTTGTGTTTAAATTGAAAATCAAATTTCAAAATGCTTGGAATCAAATCCATTTTTTGGAGAATTAAAATAAACAGTGCTATAATATCTCCTTTAATGTTTAATTTCGATGTTAGCAGCTATTAGTTTTCACTATTTAAACAATTTGGACATATTTGGAATATTTATTGAATTTTACTCCTGAAACGCATCTAATGCATTAGATGCGTTTCAGGAGTAAACTTCAATTTGCACAGAAGCAACATAAAAATAATTTTTCTGTGCGTTCGTCGGTTTGTTTACGCATTTTGTATCGAAATAACATTAAAATATCAGCTGTCACATGCTTCTCAGATGGCGCTGGCAACGTTTTGCAGAAAAGTCATATTTTTGACAATTGCTATCGGGGGATGCCAGTAATATTATAAGAATAACGTTTCAATTGTAATGACGTTAATGTAATGCTTCTTTACAATTGTAATGTGTTACTGCAAAATGTAAATCTGTATTCTGAAGTCAAATGTCATTTTTATATATTTGAGAGTTTTTTTTAACCCTCTAATGCATTCATTTTCCTATAACTGGGCAATTTTTTTCTAATTGATTTTATCAGAGATTATACTATGGATAGGAATGTGTGTGCACAAAGAATAATGGGTTCAGCATAGACACACGTAAAATGGAGTGCCTTTACGTTAGGTTGGTGTCTTGGATATGTCAAATATCCAATACGTCAACCGTAAAAAGGTAGTGCGACATCTCTGGTGAATATACCGGTAAACCAGCGATATGTGCATTCCTCCATTGAAATAAGAAGAGCCCAACGCCATCTAGGAATGAATGGAATACTTGTGACTGTCACGACAATTGACTTGAGAAGAAAGCCCTGGTCACTGGCCCTGTACGGAGGCTAGTTACATGGCTGCTATAAAGTGGGCCACACCGTGGGAAGCATTCTCCAAGCAATCGAGTGACAGCACAAGTCGGGTCGTCATGCAATAAGTTACGAAACTTGAGCATCGAAGTGAATAACTCCCCGTTTAATCCAATAATCCAATAATCCAATGGATAGGAATATATTAGTGCATATTTGCCATCAAATAGAAATATGCGATATTCGCAATATATCTCGTGAGATGTATTTGCGTCAATTACGAAAACAAGAATAAGAATGCGAAGCGAGACACGAAGAAACACAACATTCTTTATTTCCCATTTGTATGCATTTTTTCCGCTCAAATGCCAAAGTGATATATGAATGGGTAAGGATAATCATGACCTCCAAACATTCTTTAAAAAACTACCGATATAAGGCGGTGAATAAAAAATAAATAAAATAAATGAGATACTAACTCGCGTTTAAAATAAATCTGATACTTGAAAAATATTGAAAATAAAAGTGGTATGTATCATTCATTTTCAATTCTGGCTAGTATCTCATTTATTTTAACTCATTTGTGCATTATAACGAGTCTCCGAGAGTTTCATATAAGCCTTCCCATGTAGATGGTAAAAAATCGTGAAAAATGAAAAGAATAATTAATTTTTTTTCCATCAATTCTCAAATACTACTCAACTTTCTGTATAACCTGGTGAGATCCAAATGAAAACAATCTCGTTCCTTATCATGCAAATCAAGATCCGGATTATTTTCCTTTTTGGAGTGCTCTATACCGAGTCTCCGAGAGTTTCTTATGAACTTCCCATGTAACACCTATTGAATAGTGACCGAATGCTAATCGTGATTGAGTTTTATGTCAATTTTTGTTCATATTGAGGTTAGTTGTCATTTGTGTGTAGGCATGAAGCATACACACACATATATATACTTGTGTTTCTTCATATTTCACTCTGTATTCTTTTTCGTGTTTTCGTAATTGACGCACTTATACATCTTACAAGCGGCGAGATATATTGCGAATATCGCATATTTCTATTTGATGGGAAAAATGCACTAATAAATTTCTATCCACAGTATAATCTCTGGATTTTATTGCCAAAATACTCAAAAAAATAATTATAATATCAAAAAATGCCTGGTTGAAAAGTACAAAAAATCGAACCCAGGCAGATCTATGCATTGACAATATGTTTAATAACAATGAAACTCATTGTTTGCAATAAAAACATACAATATTTGGTACATTTAAATTTTGTGACAACAATAATTTATCTCTCCGACGTGGATCAGTAAATGTAAATACGAAAATATAACGTCACGGTATATTGCGACAACAGATGAATGGACAAACCCTTAAAGGATTTTTCAAAACTCCCAGCCATCTCCCGACCCTGATATATGAGACACCTTGGAAAATCGAAATGTTCCGGGGGTGATTATGGTTTCTGAATTATTAGCTTTTGGAGTGATTTGTGGCATTTTATGTTGGAACGTTTGAAACGAAAAAAATTCTGACTTTTGAAACCCCCCTTCGAAAAAAAATGTTGAAGCCACTGTGAGTTATCCTTTCTGAGAGGCCACTGAAGTTGATACATATTTATTAACGAAGAAGTATTTATTCCTTTAAACAGTGCAAGTAAAGAATTCGTCTTCGTGTATGTTGGTATGATCTCGTTCGCAACATTTTTTGGATTTGTGTATTTGATTAATCATCTACAGCCAACATTTTATTGATGAAAATTTTGTGAAAAGTATAAATCGTCGTAAGTTTTTCTTTAAAAAAATCTCAAACTATTGTATTTATATAAAATCCTTTACATAGGACACAATTTACAGAGAACACAAACAAAAATAATATAATTAAATGATTATGATTAATTATGATACAAAAACATATAACAAAAATAATCAACCTTACCTCGTATGGCCAAGGAATCTTGTGACCCTCGATAGTAATCTCTCCGCATGGAATTTGAACTTAATTGACCAAGACCTACCATTTTTGCATGTGACATATGAGATAAATTAAATAATAAAACAAAAAACCACACAAAAATTAATTTAAATATAAACAAGCAGAAATCATAAAATAATAATTAATATTAATACAAAGTACAAATGATAAAAAAGTTGCATACAACGATACTATTTCGATTCGAAAATATAATTGCTCATCATATAGACTCAAATTTAATGGTGTTTTACTTAGTTAGCAATATATATATATATTGGAGTCATCGTAGTTGTTCATCAATTTTATAATATTCAATCGATTTATATTCATCAAAAGTAACTTTACGACAAATGACCGTCATCATCCCCTGTTTTTTTTAATGATTTGGAGTTTCGACAATTAACTTCAAATCAAAAGATAAAATTAATCCCAGAATGCAATCACTTAGCAAAGAGCGATTATAAAATATCAAGAAATTGCATTGGTTGATAGCTGTCTCTGGTGTACTAGTGGATACATACGAACGCGAACGAACACGAATAACAATTTTCTTTTGGAGAAGGAACCCGTTTGTTCGTAGTACGGATCTCTACGACCGTGAAAAACAATTTCGACCCTGCGAACGAACGCAATGGCCTTCTTTACGAACGAGAACCAAAAATTTGTCATACGAACGAACATTTGCTATAATTAACTTTGAAAAAGTCAAAAAATGGGTCGATAGAAACTAGTCACATAAATAAGTCAAAATTACACAAAATACATAGTAATTTAAAGTTTTTATGGTTTTTTGAATCAAGCGAAAGACCTCAATAGTGCATTAGCATTTTAGCAAAAGAATTCTCTTCACAATAGAGAATTTTCAGTAGTGTTGATTAAGAAAAAATAGTTTCCCTTATTGGGGTCTCACTATAAGTCCAAACTTTTTTCATAATAAATATACCTGTTAAATTCGAACTCGAACCCTTTTTGTTGCGACTGGATAAGCTAGATGTTTCACTTAAATCAACTGAGCCAGTTTCAACGTGAATTGTCTTTGGTCTTGGACGAACAACCTTTTGTGAACGCATTTTTGCTGCTGCACCACTTGATGTTTGACTAATCGTTGCATGTTGCTGTTTAAGCGATTGAAGATCATTACGATCTAGAGTGATTCCTTTTTGTTCTGCTTCTTCAATTGCTTTTTTTAGTTTATGTTGTTCGAGAATAGCAGCCCGACGAGAAGCTTGCTCTTCACGTTTTCGTATGCGTTCCTCCTCTTTTTCGCGTTCTTTTTCACGTCGTTGCATAGTTTCAATTTCTTTACGTGCTTTTGCTTCTTCTTGTTGTTGACGTCGTTGCAATGACAGCAACATAATTTTTTCTTTTTTCCGTTCCATTTCATCAACCGATTCCTATAATTTTAGAAAATAGTCACATGTTGATGTTAAGTTGATTTTAATAGAATAATTCCAACATATAAAACATTATCATTTTACCGGATCCAGTTTAGTAAGAGCATCATCAATAAGGAGAGTTTTATTTGTTTCACGTGATCGATGTTGTGGTGATGAAATTTGTTCCTGCTGGTGATTCGTTACATCTTCTAAATGTCGTCGATCTAAAATAGACAACATTTGACTGTCACTCACATGTTTTCGAACCACGTTGGACTCAGCATCGATATTGGAACGACCATTAGATTCACTTTTCTCAAATGCTTGATCATATATATTTCGAACTTTATTTTCGAAACTCGAAAAACTGTTCTGTCTTTTATTCACTATAATAGAAAGAAATTTAAAACGAAAATATTATCTAATAATAAGAATTAAATTCACTTAATTAAAATTAAAATTAAAAATAAACGTATGCATTCTTCTCTTTAACGATGGAAAATCGACAAAATAAGACGAAAAGGGCAAAACAATAATGTTATATTTCATTATTTACGGCTAATCGCTATATAGTTTTCCATACATACATTTATTTCTTTTTTCATTCAAATTGAACAAATTGAGATGGATATAACATCTTGCCTGGCTTAAAACTGTTCTTTATTACCTTGTGGATGTGCTACTTTCAATTCTTGTTCCAGTTGACTAATTTGTTCTCGGTTATCTGTTGAATCTAAGCTGCGATCTTTTTTCGGTGATCGTTTTGTGCGTAATGGGGGCTTTGGCCGTTTCGGTTGAGAATTATCGAATGATATATAAAAGCCTTTTTGTTCGTTGTCGATTTCTTCGTTAGGCTTCTTTAATAACGACAAAAAGACGATTATTTTTACACTATTTTGATCTAGGTACAAATTTATCCAAATATCATCTTACTTGAAAACTGTTCATGTTCAATGAAGGTCTAGTCGGTGATGGTATGCGATACGTTAATTTTCCACTGGAGATATTTAGTTTCCCCAAATCTAAGTCCTGTTCATGTTGAATAACATTTGGTCTAACGGATGATATTTTTGTTCTTGGAGGTGGTGGGTGTTCCATAATCAAGTCAACCGAGTCTTCTTCCCCGATGAATGAAATACTTTGTGGTGCCATATCATCAACTGATGGCGATGAAATTGGAACCCGATTGTCGCGATGTTCATTATTACCATTAATTTTGTGATGTATTACAGCTCCCCTTAAATCTGAATCCGTTGAACTAATCGGTGAGGAGCAGAATTGATCGATGTTTTGATGTTGTTGTATTCCAGTATTATTTTGATGTAATATAAAACCAGGATTTTTAAGATTGGAATGGCTCGATGATTTCCACGTATGTGTGTCAATTTTTGGTGCATTTTGTGACCAAGCGTTTACATCTAATGGCAGCACTTGCGGCTATGTAAACGAAAATTCAAGAATTATTGTCAATCAAAGATTGAATATCTTGTCGATTGGTTATTTTGAAACGATTTTGACGGTACAAAACAAGAATTTTAAAGTAAGACGGTTATAGTGGCTTTTGTTTAGGATGATTTTAAGTTTCGAATTAGCCGGATTTTGATCAAGTAATGTGAGCATTTGTATGAAAAAACTTTCATATCAACTAATTTACACAGTAAATAGGGATATCTTTATATTATTAGCACTTTTTAACAATTTAGTACGAAGATCAATCGAATTTAATTTTTTTTCGTTTTTATCCTTTCATTTTACTATTCTACATTTTGAAAATATAATATGAAAATATAATGTTGAGTAAAACATATGACCATTTCACAGCAATCTAGGGGGATTCCGCGCGTATTTATATACCAAAATTTAACTTTATTCTTAAAATCTCATAAAAAATTTAATATCCGACCATATCTGACAATATCTGTAAGTATTCAATCATATCCTAGTTTCTGGAAGTGGGCTTTGGTGGATCCTCAGGATCATGAGAATGCTCCCAGTTCTGGAAGTGGACCCTCAGGATGGGCCAGGGCATTGTCAAACCATAGTCTGGTCCATCCTGAGGATCCACCAAAACACACTTCCAGAACTGGGAGCGGTCTAATGATCCTGAGGATCCACCAAAGCCCACTTCCAGAACAATTATTAGATCACAATATCTCACAATATCTCACATATTTGTTAAAAATTGACATTTTGTACTTATATCTATTCAAATGCGCTAAAAAAGTTAAAATCTCTTCTTTATCTGCAATATTCAAAAGCGCGGTTTCCCCCTAGACAGCAATTATGTTATTAAAATAATAAATTTTGCCGAAAAAATTTCTTATCAGTTATAGTTAATTCGTTTTATGTCACACGTCGCCTTTCTATATGGCCGTTTTTCTGACTTACAAAACAATTTCATAATTACAGTATTGCATCACAAAGAAAGAAGTATTTTATACTCATATCAATAGTTTTTTATATCTTGATAAAGAAATCCGACGGAGTGTTACTTAACCCCTATGAATTTAAAAAAAAATTTTTTAATTTGCACTGAGAAACCCTCCCTTCTAGGAATGACAACATGAAAAGATAGAATCACACCAATGAAATCCTCTTTAGTAGGGATGGTGGTGATGGGATTTTTTAATTTATTTGAACGACGCCATGTTACTTTACGAGGGCTGCTCCATATATTTCTAGAATTGGCAATACTGACGTTGCTAGATGCAAACCATTGTCATATTTGTTAAGTTTGACATTTTGTAGCCTAAACATCCTCAGAATGTTCTGTCATACGCGCGCTATTTGTATTGTTTCCAGTGACATCTAAATTGCGTCTCAACAAAAAAATGAATTTTACTCGTGAAAATTTTCGTGCGATAATTTACTACGACTTTGGATTGGGTGTATCTCAACAACAGTGTTTTGATCAACTTCATTTGGTCTTTGGCGATGAAGCTCCATGCAAGGCCACTGTATATCACTGGTTTACTAAATTCAATTGTGGTCGTCATTCGCTCATCGACGAATTCCGTGAAGGTCGTCCAAAATCGGTTGTTGTTCCAGAAACTATCGATGCTGTCAGAAACATGATAAAGCAAGATCGTCATGTCACATACCGTGAGATTGAGGCATCCTTGGGCATTAGTATGAGAAGCATACACACGATTTTGCATGAACATTTGGCCGTAAAAAAGATTTGCTCTCGTTGGATTCCACATAAATTGACCGATGACCAAAAATTAGCTCGTGTGAATTGGTGCAAAGAAATGCTCAACAAATATAACCGCGGTGCATCATATTCCGTCTATAACATCGTCACAGGCGACGAATCGTGGATATATGCGTATGAGCCCGAAACTAAACAGCAGTCGACAGTATGGGTCTTCCAAAGTGAAGATAATCCAACGAAAGTTGTTCGAGCAAGAAGCACTTCGAAGCAAATGGTCGCCTGTTTTTTTGGTAGAAGTGGTCATGTGGCAACAGTTCCTCTAGAGGATCGTAAGACCGTCAATTCTGATTGGTACACCACCATTTGTTTGCCCGAAGTGTTTGGTGAAATAAGAAAAAACGACCGTCGTCGCAAAATAATTCTTCATCATGACAATGCGAGCTCTCACACATCTCATCAAACCACTCAATATTTGACCACTCAAAACATCGAATTAATGGGTCATCCGCCATACAGTCCTGATTTGGCACCCAACGATTTCTTTTTGTTCCCGAGCGTGAAGAATAAACTACGTAGTCAACGATTTTCAACACCAGAAGAAGCAGCTGATGCGTTCAAAAACCACGTTTTGAAGGTGTCTCACGCGGAATGGCATAAATGCTATGACGATTGGTTCAAGCGTATGCAAAAGTGTACCGACCATCATGGCGAATACTTTGAAAAACAATAAAGCCATTTTTGATAAAAAACGATTGCGTTGTATATGCTTTTCTAGAAATATATGGAGCAGCCTACGTACTTGTCCATTATAACGTACATCCAACAGACGGAATGTTCACTATAGTGGACATAGATTCTGACGTGGGTCCATAGGGCCCATATTACCCCCCTGAAAAGCGGTTCAAAAATCACCCCCTTGATCATATTTTTGCTTGAACAATTGTCAAATCAGCAACTTTCAAATCGAATCGAATGTTGCATATCGATTTGAATATAAACACTTAAGCTAAAGTGCCATTTCTCTGTTGTTTTTCAGAGATTAGATTTTACGAAAATAAACCCTACCAGATTTTACGAAAAAAATTGAAATTACCCCCCCAGATTTTTCGATTTTTTTTTAAAATTAAACGTCGGATCAAAAAATATGTACTACAAAGTTGTTCAGAATGACGAGAGAAATTTTTTAGGACCCCTGCCTTTCAAGTCCCTTTACCCCTTAAGGGGGTCGGGGGGTCAAAAACAACCAAGATGTGATTTTTTGACCTGATACCCCGAAATTCGGAATGAGCATGCAAAACTACCTTAACCCCTCAAATCTTACAAAGTCGATTTTACATTTTTTTGGTCCGGAATTCTTGAAAAAACGTGAATGAGAAAAGTATCAACTCTAACGTATATTTGCATGCTGATTCATACAAACATATCATTCGACCAATTTTGAGGTTTTTGGCCATTTTTGGCCAATTGACCATAACTCGGCCACTTTTCAACCGATCGTGATGATCTTTTTTTAACATTATCCACGTGGTCCCTATATGGATTCCGAATATGGCCATATTTTTTGAAAAAATAATTTCGGTGGTCAAAAATCGAAAAAAAAGGAATTTTCATGGATTTTTCAAAATGCCACCTGGCGGTCAAATTTAGAATTTTTTTTGCATATTCTTAAATTGGTGTCCGAGCACTAGTCAACGGTATCGATTTTCATGTCTTTAACGTATATCACGGGGCGGCGCTTCAAAAAAGGTAAATTTTAGGTTTTGTCCATTGATCCAAACCAGAAACAATTTTCCGAAAAATGGCATATTCGGTATCTAGAGTTCGGGATCTGATGTGAAAACTTCCAAAGAGGTGTTTTTTACTTATATAGAGTGACGCAAAATATACATATTAGATATGTATGTTCAACTATGTTGATATTGCGTCACTGCCGTCCCCCGTGATAACTACTTTTAGTAAGTATTTAAATTTCCAATATTTAATCCCACTTATTATTATTATTATTATTATTATTTAATTCAACTGATTGTTAGGGAATTTTTTGCATACTGGTATATTTTTGTATTTATAAATTAACTATAGTTAATTATAAAATGTCTCATCTTCAGATTTACCTGATTTTGAGGTATATCGGTATTCAAAGGAGTTGCTGGTTGAGTCCAAGTTCTTCTCGCTGCCGGCTGTGGGGGAGTATTTTCATGTAAGTAAAATTGATTCGGTTGTGATTGCGGAATACGTTGTATTGATGGATTATGATACTGGTCAACTCGATACGTGTGATATGGATTAAGAGATGGCTGTGAAAAACAAAATATGCCATTTTTATAAACAATATTTTCTTTATTAGAAAGTTAATAATAAAAATACCTGGTGTTGGTACATGGAACCACCTCCATTTTCGCAATCCACGTACGAGGAAAACGAATGATGATTGTTTGACATTGCTGTTATATATTGGCCTTGCTCATTTATAAATTGATGTGAATCTCGACTTGATGGACGTACATTATGGTAGGGGATTGGTTGCTGGGGTGAATGTGGTTGCGGGATATGAGGAGACGAACCGAAATTTGATTGTGACATTGGACTACGATGATTGGCTTGTGCACCAGGTATGTGTTGTTGGGAACCATAGAGTATATTTTGTATTTGTTGTGCTTGCATTAGTTGTTGAGCCTGTACTTGTTGCGCCTGCATTTGAACCTGCAAATTCGCCAATCGATTTATATCTTCATTCAAATCCTGGAGACTCGAATTCTTTTGAGCAATACTTTTCTGCATATTATACAGGCAAATAAATTAGAATGCTTTCACAAGATACTAATCCATTAATACTTACTTGATAGTGCTCCATATTCAATTGATCTACATCTGGGGTCGGTTTCGAGCCAACATTTGTCCACTTTGTTTCGATTGTATTAAGATCAGTAGAATCCTTTTCAAAAGAAGAATGAATTATAGTATTTGGATAAGATTTTAGTTCGCTTAAATTGAAATTTTTAATTTAATTTGATAAAAACAGGATGTTTTGCATATATACGATTATTGAAAGTAAAACGAGCACCATTTGATGTCAATAAACCATGAAAACAAGCAGTTCCTAATTTTATTTTAGCTTTCTTTGCAAACTTAACACATACACAAACTGTTTAATAATAAAAACTGATATATAAATGTGACCAAATTATTTTCCGACTTGATCGATTAAGATGGTTTGAAAATATACACAATTGCCGAATTTTAAGTAAAAAAAATCAATTCAATAAAGTCCTAGAAAATTTATTAAAGTTTAACATTTCGAGTGTGAAAAAATATATATATTTCCCGATCGCACTGCAATTATGTTCCATAAGAGACTGTATAAAATCCAAAACTGTAGCACAGCTAGCGTCACTACGGACAACTGTGAAGTTCTAGTTAGTTGTTTGTAACTGAGCAAAAGTCTTTTCACTAGTTGGCGGCAACTTAGTATAGATAACATTGAATTGAATTGGCGCTAGCTGTGTGACACTTTGAGCATAATTTCGGTACGTTCCCGATTTATTGAGAATATGCGAAAATTTATTCACAAAAGACGGAAAAATGATCTCTACACTATTTTCGCCGCAAAATTGAATTTTGTGTATGTGCCCATTTTTAAATTTGAGAAGCCACGTGCATATGATATGAAAAGCAATTGAATGAAATATAATAAAGAAAATGAAATTATGATTCGATGAGAATGAAAGTGGCAATGCATGTATTTTGCAGATATGTACAGTGAATCTAATTTTTTTGATAGACAAAATAACGAACAAAGTAAGCAGAGAAACTCTCCACTAACATAGGATTCATATACGAATGGCGTGTGAGTGGAGTGTGTCATGCAAAATTTTGTCTACCAAAAATATTAGATTCACTGTACTTTGAAATACGTACGCTGAAAAGGGAATTTTCATCGATGATTGCTACCCAATGAATATTACCTTAAATTTCCTTGTCAATCGTATTATTACGCTCCATTATATCACAGACCATAATCTAGAGAATAATTTTTTTTTGTGAGGGAATGTTTTTCGGCCATCGCTTAAAGTTTTGTTTTGACGATGTTTATTGCGCGGCAAAATATAAGTGCGAGTTGTGTGTGAATAGAATGAGGATTCTATACATTCATTCATGCAAGGGTGAGCGAGAGTTCGAGCTCATCACTCTGTCCCCCGAATTCGCTCCGATATTTGCAAACAGTGTCCGAAGTTCGAAGTAAAGTCAGACGAACTCGGACTGCCCGTGTCCGTTGACAACAGAAAGCAAGAGCATGAAAAAAAAGATTTACCAAGCACGATTTGGGTGACAGAGATGTGACACGTTTTTACGTCTACGACCATACCAGATGCACTTAGTTATGTTCGAGAATTTTGAAATAAAATATATTTTAACTTTTTGTGCCTTAAATAGAGTCTCCGTGAATTTCATATAAGGTTGCCACGAAGCAGCCAAATGACACCCAATAAATAATAGGCGAATCATAATTTAGATGATAAGGAATGCGAATTTGGAGGCTTGTATAAAAAACACGGAAGACCGCTTAACTGGCCAATGCAAAACATGTAGGGACGTACAACAATGCCATCCAGATTTTTTTCTCGATTCTTATGCACAACTAAATGGGCTATATCATTGGTGCGACAAAGGGTTAAGATTTGCTCACAGCAATGAAATCCCTACTAAATTTAATTCGTTGTTGGTTGATTAAATCTACCAAAATTGAATTAAAAATACCACGTTTTTTCTCTCTGTGTATTTATTGGGTGGCGAAAATTGATTTTGTGTTTTGGAGTATTCACTTTTTCAGCGTACTTATTTCAAATTATACATCTATATTGCCACTATTATTCCCATGGACACATATATATTTGACTAAGCTTAAGCAAGATGCAGTGATACAGATAATTTAGCCGTGACAGCTTTTGATATTACAAATTGTAATTTACAATTGATTCAAAAGATGTAAAACTCTTGATACCTGCAAAATACATAGTTCATCTGCTTGACATTCATCGTCCACTAAACTATTTTCCTTAATATTATTTCTGAGAGTATTATTTTTGTCCTGTGAAACAATTTTGTAATGCACACATGAGTTTGCTATAATATTTTTTTCCAATTATTGTGATTGTCTCTCAACAAATTTATCCTTAGATTTCAAACAAAAAAATTGGAAACTTAGAAAGTAAGTTAAATTTTTGAAACAAGTGATTAAAATAAATTGCACCCTCTTATAAAAGTAATAATCAAAAGCAGACCAGTGACCATACTTTTTTTTTCAATATTTTTGTGCGATATACCGAGTCTCCGAGAGTTTCATATAAGCTACATGGCGGACAAATTTTTTTTTTCGTGTTTTCGACTGTCTTTCTGCTGCTACATGGCATGCTTATATGAAATTTTCGGAGACTCGGTATAACGCACAAACATATTGAAAAAAAGAATTTGTTTACTAAAATTTATCCAAAAATAAATGAGACTTCGGATAAACTGAATTTTATGTCAAATCGTCTCATATTGAGGTTAGGTGTCTTTTGTGTATAGTATATTATATAATTTCAAAAAATCTATTCAAATAAAAGAATTCAGTTAATTTCATTTCATGTACAAACCTTATTTATTGCCTGGAGGAATGCTGCTTTTCCAACTTTTTGCTGTTGTCTGTGCATATCTACCTCTATTTTGCGCTTTTCTTGTTCTATTTGACGGCGTTTTTCTTCTAGTTGCATACGTACGGTTGACAACTTATACACATCTACACCCACATTCGACCCATCGTCATCGACTGTAATTTATTTTAAATAAAATTATCAATAAATTTCAGATCTCGTATTATGATGACATATTCAATATTCGTATTCTGGTTTTTAACTAATCAATTTTCTAAAGGGTCTCAAGTAGCCATAATGGTCTAACACGGAATAACACAAATGTGAAACATGTATCATTTTTGCGTGCAAACATGAATAGTCACAAATTGTGACTCACAATCAATTTTATAGGCATAGATTATAATAATAATATAACTGACCTTCGTGATCAGTTTTCTGATAATTAACAGATTGTTGTTGCCATGTGGTTGTGTTATTTGGAAGCGGTACGAATGAAGTTTTTCGAACTGGTATTGTTCCGTTATCCGAAGCCATTGTAGCCGTTTGTTGTTGTATTGTAGCATCTCCATCAATAATATCTTGAGTTTGACTTTTACGTCGCATAGGTATTGGTTGCTGTTTTTCATTTTCATGATCCTGTTTTTCATTATTCGATGTATCATCGTAATCAAATAGTATGGAGCCCCGAGCATCAGCCATTGATGATCGCACTGGTACAGCTGGTTCAACCACAACATTTGTTATAGATTTATCTTTTTCAAATGCACGACCAATCATATTCAATTGGTCTTGTGAGCCTCCAAAATTCTCTATTGTCAGTTGTGAATCATCACTAACCGAGTTGCGACGAGATCGTCGTCCTATAAATAAATAAATTAATATGATTTAAATTCGTTCATATTAAAAGTAATGAATCAAAAGTCTGAATGAAATTGTAGCTAAATTTGAACTAGTATTGTGAAAAACAAATACGCCAATTAATTGATGATTTTTTTGTTACATACAAACCTGCAAAACTTGGTCTTCTAGTCTCTTCCCAATTACTAGGACGACCAGCTGCGATACTATCGCCTATGAAATGCAGTGCATTCAAAATGAACAAATAAAAATAAAAACAATAAAAAAAATAAAACAAAAGCTGACTAAAGACAGTTAAAATAAATTGAACTTAAAAAAAAAAATCGCTAATATTTGCTAATAAATGTCTAATTTTTACAGGTGAAGCGACATATATTTTTAAATCATGAATCATATTTGTAAAGTTCAGCTGAGACTTACCTCGATCTTCGGCTCTTGATTCTGTTCGCTCTTTGGATTGCCTTAATCGAGCTATAGGCAGCGGCTCTTGCATAGATGCTAATGTTGGTACAGTGCGCCCGCGATGTACTACAAAGCCTGAGTGTGCATATAAGTGAATAATAAAAAATAATCATCAAATGAAGACAATAGTTTAAAATATAAGAAAATAACGAAAAAAATTATAGAGTTTAAGTTTTGGAGTATTTCACAATATTATGCTTACCATCATCAATAACTGTGTTCGAATCTTCTCGGGGTGGTGTCACTCGTCGTATAGCGCTTGTAGATAGGGAACGATCAACTAGACATTAAAAAAAGAGAAAAAATTAAAGCCGGATAATATAGTTAAAGCTAGAGTTAAAGTAGTTTAAGAACATGTCTACAACAAAAAAAAATTAAATAATGAGAAATGAAATTTATAAAAAGGATTTCATTGTGTATGAAACGGTTTCGTTTCATAGAAATTTTAAACAGTAAGAAGTTTTATATTTGTTATTTTTACTATAGTATATTAATGCAATAATATGGATGTAATAATTTATGTGTGATGAAATACTGAAACTTTTTTTCTGGAATTCTTTTATTTTATAGGAAAATTATGCATACCAAGAACTTTTGCTCTCAATTTTCAATAAAAATATAAGAAATTCCTATATATAGTCATTTCATCCACATTTTAACTAGATCGATACATGCAATTTCTAAGCGAACGCAATAATCTACTTCTAAAAGGTATACGCAACTACTTATATATCGAAGATAAATTATTCACACATTCAAAGACTGCAAACAATAACAACATCGCATATAGCTCAAATTTATAAACATCACAAGAATATTCATAGTATCATTTATTGGAATGATGTGTACTTTAAAATAAGCAAATTGAAATGTGAGAATGATTTTAATGAATCTTGGATGCTGCGATGTTTTTGTAAATAAAGACCTTGGAATGGGGGTTTGTTGCTTGCGGTTGAATTAGTGGGCGAATCCAAACCTCGCCTTAGGTCTGGTATTGGCGTAATTACTGGACACATTAGTCCCCGTCGATGTTGAATTCCGTGTTCATTTATCGTGTCGTTGCTATCCGATTCTATGATTTGTTGTGCAGCACAAAAAATATATTTAAAGATGGAAAATTAAATTTTTTTCCATATGATTAATATATTAAAAACATACTTTATTTTATAAAATGAAACGATTAAGTCAATCGAAATCATTTTTTTTTTTTTTTCAAAAAAAAAAAAACTCATAAACCAAACAATGTTAAAATGTCTTATGGAAATGTATAACAGGTGGGTAGATAAGTCTTTGTCCTAACATATAGATGGCATCACTGGATTTTTTTTGCTATGATTTTTAGTTAGTACGAACCTTCAAACGATATGTGTCAAAATTTGACAGCAATCGGTCGATTGGTTCGTGAGATATAGCGTTTTGAGTGAAACAACTTTTGTTATTGTGAAAAAAATGGAAAAAGACGAATTTCGTGTGTTAATAAAACACTGTTTTTTGATGGGAAAAAATACTGTGCAAACCAAACAATGGCTTGATAAATGATACCCGGACTCTGCGCCAGCACAATCAAATATAAAATATTGGTTTCGTGAATTTAAACGTGGTCGTACAGACACAGGCGATGCACAACGCAGTGGACGTCCAAAAGAGGTGGTTACGCCAGAAAACATCAAAAAAATCCACAAAATAATTTTGAATGACCGTAATGTGAAGTTGAGCGAGATAGCTGAGACCCTAAAGATATCAATGGAACGTGTTCATCATATTATTCACGAATATTTGGATATGCGAAAGCTCTGCGCAAAGTGGGTGCCGCGTGAGCTCACAATCGATCAAAAGCAACAACGTGTTGATGATTCGGAGCAATGTTTGAAGCTGTTTAACAGCAATAAAGCTGAATTTTTGCGTCGATATGTGACAATGGATAAAACATGGCTCCATCACTACGCTCCAGAGTCCAATCGACAGTCAGCGGAGTGGACTGCGCGCGACGAACCCAATCCAAAGCGTGGAAAGACGAAACAGTCGGCTGGCAAGGTTATGGCATCAGTATTTTGGGATGCGCATGGTATAATATTCATTGACTATCTTGAAAAGGGCCAGACTATCAATAGCGACTATTTTATAGCGTTATTGGAGCGTTTGAAGAACGAAATCGCGAAAAAACGGCCACATTTGAAGAAGAAGAAAGTGTTGTTTCACCAAGACAATGCACCGTGCCACAAATCAATGAAAACGATGGCAAAATTGCATGAATTGGGTTTCGAATTGCTTCCCCATCCACCGTATTCTCCAGATCTGGCCCTCAGCGACTATTTCCTGTTCGCAGACCTCAAGAGGATGCTCGCTGGCAAGAAATTTAAGACAAATGATGAAGTGATTGCCGAAACTGAGGCCTATTTTGAGGCTAAAGACAAATCGTACTATGAAAATGGTATCGAAAAGTTGGAAGATCGCTATAATCGCTGTATCGCTCTCGAAGGCAACTATGTTGAATAATAAAATTGAATTTTGCGAAAAAAATGTTTTTTTCTTAGTTAGGACAAAGACTTATCTGCCCGCCTGTTAGGGTGTTCTCGCATTTGTAAAAAAATGGGTATCGCCAATTAAATCAAAATTCTGTGTCATTTATGATTGATATTCAGGCTTCCCGAAGAGAAATAAACTATATGTTTGAGTATTGTCGCGATATTATCAATATCGTTATCATCATGTGCTCGGAATTCACCAGTTCACTTTATATTGTTTATATCTAATATACTATTGTAGCTATTGCTTATTTGTTCGTTTATTTGATGTTTTTAATGGAAAGAATATAAATAAATTTTCCGTTATATACAATCATAAGGAAATAAAACGCGCACACATTTTTTTCAATGAAGACTTTCTCAAAGTATCAATTTCAAAAGCAAGCATTTGTGATTTCGGTATGGATCAGTGGCGACAATGTGATTATTACAGTTCAAAGTATAGTTGTGTTACATATTCAATTTAACAATCGAACAAAATTCACAATCGAATCAAAATTATACTTAGTGGTTCTTTTTTTTCAGAAATAAAAACATTCATATGAAAATGAAATGGTTGTTCTTTGTGTCGACGAACGTTGAATTTCGTTGTATTCACATAATTGTTGTCATTGCAATCATAGTTTTATTCTAATAGTAACAGAAGACGTGTTTTCGAGATGAATGTTGTTGTCAATTTTCCATTTGATTTTTATTTTGTTTAGAAATGACAGAACATTTGCAAAATTTCGACTACAAAATTCATCGTTCAACCAAAAAAAAAAAATCAAATTCAGTTTTGCTTACATCAAACATGGAATATTCGCTGTCGATTGTTTTAACTGATTCAGATCAATACAATACTGCACATTGTAGGTATAATACAATGTGAAAAATACTGTGTATTTAATCCTGATCACACAAGTAATTGAAAAACGGCGAAAAAAGGGAATTTCATACATGTCTACATTCAAAGCTAACCTGGAACGCCCAAATATTATTTTAAAATTTTAAAAACACCTTTTTGGGATAGATATAATCATTTTGCATCGATTATGGTCATAGCCGACGTAATTCTGCAAAATGTACAAAAATCGAAGCACCCTATTGGGCAGGCCTGTATCATATTGTTTTTGTACAGAATTAAAGGATTCTATTGCTCTCGAAAGAATTTAAAATTGTCTGAATTAATAGAAATAGCCATTGCCAATAATTATTTGGAAACAATGAGAATATAAAAAAAAAAAACAAAAAAGTCTTAAAATCATTTTTTAAAAAACACCTATTCGTACATCTGTTATTTGTATATAATAGTCATCTTTTGTACTAAAAATTGTATAAAAAAACTTTAATTTCAATAGTAACATGAAGTTTATAATCGAAACTCTTTAGACTGAGTTAACTGGATAATTAAGAATATTATCACGAATACTGTACATTTCGATTATTATTATATATGTTATAAATTCGGATGAATTCGCGATTGACAATTAATATTCCACTAGGTATAAATTTTCTTTTTGAAAATAGGAATAACTCACTTGAAGGTTGCTGGTCCATACCAGGATATGCAACACATTTGGCTGGATGGATTTCAAATAAATTGAATAAATCAGCTAAAAGAACAACTAGATTTTGTTTCATAGATCTGAAAAAAGAAAAACAATTATATTTTAGACATTCTATTCGATTTAAATGTATTCAATTACAGTAGACTCAGTACTCACCCTCGCATATATGTTACATCTTGTGGTGTCATATGAAATACAGAATATGGCAAATGTTTCTGTGAAAAATTACTAACTAAAAGAATATTGGAAATGGAATCTTCAACCGTTGGCATATAATTCAACCGCACACTTGTCCATGGTACAATATTTGGGCAATAATATGAAATTAAATAGGCTAAAGATACGCCATCGCATAGATCAATATAGTCGCGTACAGGTGAAATGTCTGGAGATTGTAATCGCGCACCCTAACGAATTGAAAGATCCACCAGATTAATAAATTTATTATTGAAATCAAATGCAAAAAATTTACGTTCTCGTTAGTTGCACCATTTTCAATTTCTTTATCGATGCGTCGCTTCAAAGCCGCACATACATGTGAAAGCCAATAAAGTAGTGCAGTCTCATGATTTTGTACTTCTTTTGGCAATGATCCCCCCGTTATTCTGTTCACAGATATTGAAGTTTGTTTCAAATTTAATTTTACTCGTCATTAAAAATATTAATCAAACTTACCTATTTATTGCTGTTGAAATACGTTCACAACTAGCTACTTCTTTAGCATACAATATCATAAGCGCTTCTATCACAGACATGTGGGCATTCTATATTATATTAACGAATAACAAGCGTATACTTACAAAATATATTTTTTTTGATATTTTAACTATTAAAAATTAAATGACATATTAATGTGAAAATTTACAAAAAATCAAAATTTATCCAAATCTTATATCCAAAAATTTATTTTTATTTTAAATTAATAAGGTAATGAAAATTTTAAACTTAACTCACAATTCGTAATGGATTGGTTTGTATTAAAACAGTCTCAGTTAACGGCATATCTGGATTTTCAGTTATTGGAACACCTTTACGTGTCAGTGTTTGTAGTATTGACCAGTGATTTAAACTTTGGTAGTTTGGATCCGAGTACAAATTAGATAATGTCTGGCAGTATATTGATGCATTTCCCAAGCTTACTACGATCTGGAATTTATTATTTTAAGTAAATTGATAGCAAATATTTAATATTTTAAACCACAAATGAATGAAAAAACCTGTGGCTTCAGGTGATCCTGTCCTTCATGATCACGATAGAATGGTTCGCGTTGATTTTCTGGTACGCGATTATTGAATGCTTTTGATAAAATCCATTTGACGGAGGCTCGTTGCCGGGCCTTTTCACCAATCATATCGGTAAGGATGACATTTTTAAATAAATAAAGCACATTTGGGAACATGAAAAATACGAATAAAAAATAAATATATAAACTATTTTGATGCGGAGAATGTAAATTTCTTCTTTAATTTTACATCCATTTTTCGAATCAAATTCTAATGAGTTGTTATATAGGTAAAATTATATAAAACTATTCAACATTTAACTTGGAAAGTTTTCATGACAAAAGTGTTCAGACAAATAATATATTTGGTCATGTCTTACAACATCAAACAATTGGTTTCTCTTCTCTTGTTATATGTGTGAGACGATAAATTAGAGTCGCTTGGTAGTTCTGTATCATTTTTATTCATCGCGCCTTTTCAGCACAATTAAACGATTGATGCATCGTAGGTGTATCGAGGTTTTTAGAAATTAAATTTGGAATCATACTAAAGCTAATAGTCAAAACATAGATGTTGTTTGACCATAGGATTGTGGAGAATAAACCACAGCTAAATATTCAATAAATATTATTATGTTTATGTCTCTCTTCACATTCTATTCCATTCCAACCAACGCATTCCAGCATCGCTGCAAGTTGAATAATTTTAGTGAAATATGTACAGTACAATCTTACTTAAGCCGAACTGAATCGAATCGATGCGATTGTGAGAAAATACAATATATTTACTGTAAATAAATTTGACTTTACCAGACCCGCAAGTGTGTCACGAATTTTTGTTTCAATACGAACACTTCAATCATATACAACATATACACATGCAATCGACACATATGTAGAATATTTATTATTTACAAATTATTCATCTTGTATGCACACAATCTCTTCATCTTTAAAATATAGTATAAATGATATAATACTTGAACCATTTAACTTCATTTACCCGATTTTCCCAATTAAATTGAAATTTGCAATGTTTCGTTTTTCTTTAGTAGTTTATCAGCGATCATTTTATTTGGACAGTATAATTTTTGATGAAAACTTGGTTTTTTTACCTCAATTTTTTATTATACAGATATAAAGAAAGCATGAAATCATAGTTTTATAAATATCGACGTCGAATCTATGTTGTGTTTGTCCCATTTCGTCGATCTACTATTAATTTTCCCACATATATTGATGAGAAACAAGAAATATCGAAACAAATTTATTTATAATCAATATTTACTTTAATTTGATGATTATATATACATGTTTATAATTTAGTTCATTTCAAAATATTGAAAATTGCATTTTTTGCCACAGAGACGGTTTTTGTTAGTCAAATGAAACACACAATTGCCCCGTGATGACCTAATAATTTTGAACTTTTTTAGAAAACAATTCTTTTTTAACGTACCTGTCTCACATCCGAGGTGTCAGTATCCATTTTATCCATATCATTTATATATGTGAATCACGATTAAATTTTGAAAAGTTTTTCTTTTTTGGTTATTAAAATTCCTTTTTTAGATTTTTTGTTTTTAACATTTGCACACCATTTTCTTTTTCAATTTATTTTTTAGTTATGAATTCCACATAGATTTATTTGCACAAATTTGCGTAGAGTTTTTCTTTCTGTAGTAAAAAATTGACTAAAGAAAAAAAACGAGCAAAAGATATATACATGAATGAATATGCGGCATATAACGTAAGTTCCACTTGCATGGTAATAACTAGATAATAATGGCAAATAACCAGATGATAATCATCATGAAAATACGCAAAAGCTCAATACATTCTGATTTGGTGGTGATACGAATTTATTTATTTTTAATAATGTATTTCTGTTCGCAAAAATCAATTTTTCTATATTATCGATTATGAACACAACACTTAGGTGATTTCATTGGGCTTGTCATACTAAAAACACAACACATACACGCAAATATGAGTTGTCTATTTGTAGTAGCAAGTTTCTTTTGTAAGCAGATTATTGTTTCATTTTAAGGGCTTATATACATCTAATATTAAAATGTGATTGGGCGTAACCTTGTTAGGATATAATTTTTACGATTTTTTGTTTAAAGTCTGGAAAATACTTTGTTTTTTATAAAATTAAACTGTGATTTTGATCATATGGCTTCAAAATCTGGATTCGAAATTCCATAAATTTATCTCAATCCTACGCGCTTGTTGTGTCATCTGTCATTTTCGTAAAGTGTTCAGCGTCTTTTTGTCATCACTGTCACAGTTGCTTTGAAAACATACAACAAAAATTGGATTAGAAAAGCAATTGTCAACATGTTTTAATGATATGGTTTTTGAGTGGAATTCACTCGCACACACAAAATCATGATGATAATAACATCATGGATGATGATGTTGGAACATTCGGAATATATGGAATAATGAACATTGTTTTATTTAGACAGAATTGATCACAAATTGTAGAAATCTGTCTTCAATTTAACACAAAGTACAATTATGCGATTCTTCAGTTTTCCAATTTTAATGTATATTTTTAGTCAACTCTATGCAATTCAACATAGTTATTTTGATTTGGTTAATTTGCAAAAACAATTATGCAATCGTGTACATAATCGCTTTTTATAAGAATTTTGATGATTGCATTTTTTGGATGCTCAAGAATGAATATCCACATTCATGTGCTTGGAAATGGCAACCGAAGTTACTAGATTTATCTCTTCACTATTTCTTATGTTATTGCCGTTCATCATTTCAAATAGTCGTGATTTTCTTCATATGCAATTGGGTTTTGTAAATGAACGAGATGAAACAGAAGATCTTTAAAGAAACTTTTTATCACTTTATTTGCACAATATGTGTTAAATTTCAAAATATAATTTATTTAAATTCATTTTTTAAGGATTAATTATTCAAACGATATATTTAATGTCACTTGGATCATATAACAAATAATTACTCAAACACTGATTTTACCGATATAAAATTCATATCACACCTAATACAGCTATTTAAATGTTTTTAGAGGTTTGTTACATATTTTCTAGTTTTTCAATACTCTAATTGAAATCAAATTTATTTATTTCCTTTGGCTATATATTAATTAGCACAATTTTTTTTTTCAAGGAATTTATTAGCCAAATAGAGAGTGAGAGCAGCAGCTAGCTGAAATAATGAAAAACAACTAAAGTCATTTTAGCGCACTATTATGCCTGTGGATTCTTTACTGCGTTTACAGCGCCACTCTTTTTTACGTGAATTTCAACGTTCACTTCCTCCACCTATCGTAACATTCAGGTGTAAATATATGGAAAAGAGGAACGACAATCATTAGTATCAATTGAATTGTATATGGAATATCTTTTTCTAAGTTAAAAACTTATTCACCTACGGGCTTCAGTAGTATGAAATTGTATGTTTCATCCACGTTTCTTAGTATTAGTGTACACACACACACACACACACACACGCACACACACATCCGCGTACTGAAATATTTATAAAACCATACCCAAAATATTCAAGTGAAAAATATTGTGATGAATGTTTAAAAATCGACTGAGTATTTGCCAAATCACTGCAGAAGTCTATATTATTTGAAATCTTCAGCTGAACTAAGAGTTCATCCATGCACAACTGCACACCCTACTTGAAACTCAATTGCAATTATTATTATTAATTTTATGATGTTTTGTTGCAAGGCGCAAATTTATTATTTCAAATGTTTGACATTTCACCAATACGTATGACAATTGAATCGAAAAATAGCGCCAATGTATTTACTGTTGAAATACAATAAAATCAAATGAACTATGTTGGGAATGCTATAATTTTTCAATTTTTTACTAGATATTATTACCTTAAAATTTAATGACACATTTGAAGAGAGAGGTGCACTTGAAATGTGCCAAAATGCGCAACTCTTGGTACACTTGCCCCAACTGTGTGACTCCGATGATTCATTGTGAAACCGATTTTTTAATTGATTTTTTTTTCATTTCATGTTTACAGTTCACTTTTTACCGAATTTCGAAGTTATTATCATGGCAAAATAAAATAAAATGATTGAATTTTGAATAAAAGTCACTCACATTGCGTTTTTACTTGACACCCGGAACATGTTTATTGATTGTTTAATAGGTGGTCATCTTGGGCTCCCTTCCAAAAAATTGAAAATTTTCGAGAGTTTTTGAACCAGCTAAAATTTTGTCAACAGTTGAAAATATGAATATGGTTTCTTTGGCCGAAAGTTACCTTTTTCAGTGCTTTTTCATTTGGTATACAGGGTGTTTCATATAAGTGGCTCACTTTTATAGAGTGGTAATTTCGAAAAACTCTTTTGGGGGATACTTTAAGGGTGAAAAACTAAGAATTTTGGCTCAGCCGGATTTTTGAATTTTTCCCAGGGGGTGGAGGGGGGTCGATTTTCCTCAAAAATGAATATGTGTCCAAATCGGTCAAAATAAAATTAAGAGTAAGTTTGAATATTTATCCTTTTATGGTTGCAATGTGTTCTGGGGATCTTCCTCTACAAGATAGACCGATTTATAGGTCGGTCAAAATGAAGGGGGTGAGGGGAGGGGGTCATGTACATTGAAATTTTTCTACTTGATTTTATTCAAAATTGCGACACAACAACCAAATTTTTTTTGCTCCAATCGTGTTTCTCGAGTCCGTCTCGACATGATAAAACACTTTGTAGAACATTTCATTTTGATTCGGGCCGGCCCGGGCCATCAATCAGAAGTTACGCCAGATTTTTCACCAAAATTTTCGCTATCTAAATTTTTTTTGTATGAAATGTAGACCGACTGCATCTAGTTTCCTTGTCTCTATCGTGTTCCTTGAGTCGGCCTTTACAAGATGGGATAGTTTTTGGAAAATATTATTGAGATTTGGGCCGGCCAAGACCGAAAATTGAGGCGCCAAATCGGCCATTCCACATTTGGCACGATTTTTCGAGGTTCAGCTCAAATGGATGTTGATTTTTTTACCTCTATCGTGTTCCCTGAGCCTTTCTCTACAAGATAGAACCATTTCCCATTGAATTGGATTGGATTTGTGTCGGCCATGGCCGAAGACGGAGGCGCCAAACTGATTTTTTTGATTTTGGTACGCTATTTCGGGATTTATCCAAAAATGAACTCGATTACATATGGTTTTTTGGTCCTATCGTAATCTCCGGACCATTCTCAATAAGGTATGTACATTTTTGGATCCTTTGGTTTTAATTTGCGCCGGCCAAGGGCCAAAAGTATGACATTATAACCATATTTTTACCAAAATTTTTACTATCTAAATTTTTTTTGTATGAAAGGTAGACCGAGTACCTCTGGTTTCCTTGTCCCTATAGTGTTCCTTGAGTCGGTCTCTACAAGATGGGATAGTTTTTGGAAAATATTATTAAGATTTGGGCCGGCCAAAGCCAAAAATTGAGGCGCCAAAACGGCCATTTCACTTTTTGCACGATTTGTCGTGGTTCAACTTGAATTGATGTTGATTCTTTTGCTTTGCAAATGTTGTGGAGACAAAAAGAGATCGACTGACACCTTGGGTGAGGTCGCCCTCCACGTCTGTGAGGCAGGGCAGGGTAAAATTTGGGAAATTAGCTGAAAGCGTAGATAAAGGCCCAGAATAGGGTCTACTACCCCCTATGTCCCAAAGTTAGGGCCATATTCGGATTCCTCGAGAAAAATTACGACTCATTATGAACTCACTTATTCCTTCCCTTGTACCTTAAATTCGGGTCGGAAAAAATTCGTTATATTAAATCAAAATATAAGCAAAATTTCTATTGTATACTCCATAGAAATTTTTGAGGTGATCACAAGCTAAAAATACTCACAATTTGACATTTGATATAACGAATTTTTGTATTTTCTATTGTCTAGAGAAAAAAAAAAATTAATTTAGCAAGCAACGCTTCAAAACGTTTTTAGTTCCTTTTAAGGGTTTTCTTTTCGTTCGTTTATCAAAACATGCGTTGCAATAAATATAACTTGATTTAAATATACCACTCCAAATGAACTTGATTATTTTTTTCTTACTTTCAAATGAATCCTATGAAAATAATTAGTTGTTTTTGTTGTTGTTACAGTTTGAATCATTCTTGTTTTGAATTATTCCAGTTGAAAGAAATTTAATTCAAATTCATTTTTTATTTTTAGTATAATTTAATAAATGATTCTTTATTTGAACCATGTGGAAATTCTGAAATTTTTATTTATATAAATTCAAATAAAAAAAATATTTTGACTAAAAATCAACAGGTTTTTTTGTGTATCAAAGGTAATCGAAACAACTGGTATGTGTATGATTCTTACCTTTAAAGTCGACCATAATTCACTGCTGCTGCAGATATTTAAAAAAATAAAATGAAAGAAAACTCTCAATTTTCCTATGTATTTCAAATGTACTTCTTTATTACATTATATAATAATGTCATTCTCCAAAAGAGAACAACCGTATGCGATTCATTCTTACATTATTTAAATTGTAAATCGTACAATCGATTTATCATAATATTTTGTGACGTTCATTTTCAACAAAATGAATCAGAGATCAGCAAATCAGCTAAAAATAATTTATTTTATTTTTATGCTATTTGTATTTATTAAAATGATTTTCCTTTGGATCCAACAGCTTATTACGAATGTTCAAAAATATAGCTCGACCGTAAACAATTATTATCAACACTCTGTTATTTCAAAATTAAAACAAAGACAGTCAGAAAACCAACTGTGAATATATCCATTCCACAGCGAACAGCATTCCGAATACACAAATACTCACATATAATTCACAAGAAATCCTTTTGTAAACAAAATTAGTTGGTGCGATCGTTTTTTTAAAGTGAGCTTATACTGTCACACGATGCGAATGCTCTGAATACAATTTAATTCATAAAAATAAATATCTACACTGTAATTTTGATGAGATTAAAATAAAATCCTTTCGGATTTATTTAATAAAAAATCAAAATGCATTAAAATGAAATAAGAAGGTGCTAGAAAGATTTTTTGTATTTTTTTAAAATGTAAAATACAGTAGTTTTGTAGAACAGTTAAAATGTATTAATTGTTTCAATATTAAATGAATAATCATTCTGGTGGAACACTGTTTCATATTGTATTGACATTTACATGAAACTTCAAATGCCTGTCATTGTCTTTCGATTACAAACATAACCTTTCTCGGTTGGAATTTCGATTAGTTTGTTTATTAAAAGATGATTTTCAATAAAATCCTTTTTTCTATCGCTTCTGTGCTATTTATTTCATTTCTGATAAAATGTTTCATAGCTAGTGGAAACAGAAAGGGTGATTAGCGGATGGTTCTCAATTAAAGTTGGGATCGGTTTGCATTGATATCAGCACATATTCCATTTCATAAACTCTTTTAAGCTCACTGATTTTTTTTTGTAAAGCGTAACATGGCAAGCATTTTGCTGAGTTTTCAAAATCCATCAGAATCGTGAACAACCGAAACACACATTGTAAAATGCTTGAGAATATTCTTGCTTTGGTGACGAATGATTTTCAATAAAGTTTTTGATTCGTTTGCATCGAAGAATTGTGAAATTATATTTATGCAAGAGTGAAATGAACGCATTGTTAGTTTGTTTATTGTGAACCTGTTCGATCACATGAATCGGTGATTGTATATTTTGATGAATTTTTAGAGGCCCGTTTTTAAAATACCGGGAACCTATAAATTCATCAAAAATAATATATTGCTGAACCAACAGATTCTAGAGTATAAATATAAGAGAGATGTTCGGTATACTATCACTCGATCATGATGGCTGGAAAGAAACGGAAGCCTGCAGCATCGTCTTCGGAAGTTTTTTGAGCACCAAAATGCGACCAAGCAACAGATCAACGACACCATGGAATATCTATTTCAAAAGAAATTAGAGCGCGTACCAGATCCGTTTCTAATTGAAATACTAAGAAATGAATTGCATCCAATTCGTTTCGGAGATGGTCAACCATATTTTTGTACGATGATGACGGGAGGCAATTTGTTCAAATACGTACCAATATTTCTACATTTGCAACGGTAAGCCGCTAATATTTTTACATTATTTCAAATCAATCGGTTGCACACAATCATTTGCGTTTCATTCGTTAAACAATGCAATTTCTATTCATTTCCTCGTCAATCATACAATAGGTACATTCGTGATCACCAACGAAATAGAGAGGCGGCATTGTGACGAGGTGAAAGAACAGAGCTCCGTGATTACAGAAATTTCACCGTTTTTCCATTTTCAACGTTTAAAAAACATCAAATTCGCATCGATAAGCAAGGTCTTTATTCCATGCTGAGAGCGATCGAATGCCCACACCCACGGCTCATTAGACGTGATGGAACACCAAAGCAGTATAAGGAATTAAAATCCGCTGATTGGAACGTGCTTTGGCGAACGTATTTTGATATTGATGCCATCGAAAGAACACCGCAAAATGACAATCGTGCCACTATAAAATTCCAAAGTTCGATTCAAACGGATGGAGTGGCTATGTCATTCTGGATGGAACGCACAAATTCATTGTTGCCAAAGATGAAAATGAAATCATGCGAGAGACTCAACAAAAATTATTGAAAGCGCAACAAGTGTATGGTCTCGATCCAGGTCTTCGGCTGGTGATTGGCGGTGTTTGTGTGACCAATTACAATGATCCGAAAAAGGAAAATCGCCGCGAAAAACTCGTTCGATTGACGTCGGGTCAATATAATCACATGATCGGCTATCGCTACCCATATAACTCATTTGCGGAGTAATTTTGTCGATGGCGGGACTGTGCGAAGTTCGGCGCAGATAGCATGCAAATGCTGTGTGTACGAGTGCAACAGCATTCTTTGCTGTTCATAGATTTATTTTATCCAAACGAACATCTTAGTAGCCGTACACACAGCTAAGTTACTAATCATCTGCGATTATCTGCGTAAGAATGATACACATAGAAGTGCTGTTACCCTCGTACACACAGAGTTTGTATGTCATCTCCGCTAAACTCCGCACAGTCCCGCCATCGTCAAAATTACTCCGCAAATGAATTATATGGGTAGCGAAATAAATAGCGCGAAAAGTTGACTTTCAACATCGACGAAAAAATGCGTATTCACCGAGAATCTTTTGATGAGAAACCAGGTCCACATTCAGACAACATTGATAGATATGTCGATCATATTTTACGGCATTTCAATGAGAAGTTTGAAACTGCTTGTACGAATATGCACTTCAAGATTTCCTACAGTACATCGATACGAATAAGATACTCGATGAGTTGGCAGACTGGTTGATCGATCGCAAAGAAACATTCGTATTTGTGGGTGAAAATGTCATTGCTGCCGACTCAGAAGCAAAAGTCTATTTATTTATTTATTTGTGATTTTATTTAAAAAAAAAAGGGTATATTTTCGGTCGAAAGTACGCGATTTGTTTGAGAAAATGAAGTGACGGCGCAACTGTACAGTGGTCACAGTGGATGAATTTCGAACAACAAAGGTGTGCTCGTTGTGTTTCAAAGACTTGGAATTTTCGAAGAAAAGTGATCGTGTGAAGATGAAATACTGATACTTTACTTGCCGTAAATGCGAATCATTGCCAGTAGGAAGTAAAACACATGGTCCCATCGACTCACGAAAGAGTAATCATCTTTTGACGAAACAACGAGAACATCGACCTCGTCCTGGACCACGTATGGCATCAAAATTCCGACGCTACGAAGAAAAACGGACAATTGTTAAACAATTTGTTAAACAATTCAAACATAGGACGGTGTGCTGTAATGAATGAAGAACTACTACTCGTAGGCATCCATTCAGGTAAAAAAATTAATTTATCAAATTGTAATGAAAATTTCATTATGGAATATTCAAAATGCACACTAACTACACACAAAAAAATATATCTTCAAAACTAAACGACGGTTCGTTTAGTTTTAGTATTTTTCATCTAGTTTGCGTTTGAAGTAACGATTTTTAGTATTCTCTTTTGTGCGGATCTTCTTCGGTTGTGTGTTTTTTCGAAATCGATTGGTAACTCATACATCCCAAAACATAACCGAAGAAGATCCACACAAAAGAGAATACAAAAAATCTTTACCTAAAATGCAAACTAGATGATAAAATACTAAAACTAAACGAACTGCCATCTAAATACAAAAATAAGATGAACTGTCGTTTAGTTTTGAACATATATTTTTTTGTGTGTATGTTTAACTTGAAGTTCACATTAAGTATTGTTATTATAATCATTACTTTCAGAACCAACAACCAATACAAGGAACATCGCGTTCTATCCAAGATCAAGCACGAAACTCTCGGTCGTAGGCCCTGGGTATTGTGCGGGATGTCATCGTATTCTTATTATAGCTACTTTTAGTAAGTATTTAAATTTAATCCTACAGTGCTAACATTTAATCCTTTTGGATTATTTTTATGAAAAATCCCAAATGATTAATATTTAATCCCAGAGTACTGAATATAGAAGTGGAAGATTTGCCTTAATTTTTTTTATCTGAATATTCAATAATTTATTCTTTTATATTTTTATTTAATTCTTTTTTTCATTTAATTTTTTATTTAAAATAGGGTAGGGTCCTTTAATTTCTGCTGAAATAATTTCTACACTTAGAGAAATAATTTCTGAATTTACTGAAATGATTTCTGTGCATTAATTTCTATATAATAATTTCTAGAAAATAAGGCTGAATCAATTCCTAGGATTTCTTTTTAAAATTATACACTTTCAGTGGAATTAATTTCTAGAAAATGAATCTGAATTAATACGTATCAATGGGCATTCGATAGAAATTAAAAGTATATTTTTCTAGTCAACAAATTCAATAATATTTCCTCTGATAAAGAAAAATAAATGCAATAAAAATTATATTTATATATTTATTGAATAAATGATGTATAAGAATGTTCTTCTATAGAATTTGAAATCATATTACACAAATCTCTTTCTTAATGAATTGTTTATTTATCTCAGCCTTAATGAACAAATGAATCGTTAGATTTACAATTTAAAACTTAATGTATTGGGTTGTTTTCACATTATGTTGCCAAACGAAATTATTATTGGAAGTGAATGAAACAAGTGGATCCATTGCATTGGAATTTGTAAATCTATGCACATAATCTCCATTCCATTTGACACGAACTTGGGGTCAAAACTTTGAATTAATATCGTTAAAAATGTTTTTTTTTTGTTTATTTTTTTTACAGCAATAAGAAGAAGCATATAAAGAGAAGTGTTTTCAAATCATTCTTGTGCTGTAACTGAGGTATGAACCTTCAAACGTGTCGTCACAAAAGATTAGGTTGATATCTCTTATAGAGAGTTTTCTACGTAAGTCAATTGGTCACCTCGAAATCTTTGGAAATTTTTATAAAATCGAGTACCGCATTTTCCTATTGAGATATTTTTCATATTTGAAAAGTAGATATACTAGCTAGAGGCCGGCCTCAATAAATGCAATAGATGGTGAATTTGAATCAAGATTCAGGTGGCGACAGTGCTCTTCCAAATATTCACTTGCGAGCTGTCATGCGAAGACACATTTTCTCGCCAGAAGAAAACAATATTTTAATTCTACTACATAACGCAATCCATACATCTATTGAGCGTGGTACAGACCCATGACCATAGTATTTTTTGCTGACAAGCCAATCATTAATATACCATTTGTATTCCAGAAACGGAAGTCATATGTTGGAAATCATCTGTTTGGAGGCGACTTTCTACTGGTGTCTTGCCACCACTGCATAATAATACATTCTCTTTGCTTTTGCCTTTGATTTGTAGTAGAAGAACCAGGCTTCATTACCAATTTTTGGGCATTTGGAATATTTCATGAAGGACAATTGTATTTTGGCCATCAGATCTAGAACTATTTTCACTATTATCACAAAAGTGTGAGAGTCAACATTCATCAAGTCTCTGCACAACTATGAAGATTTTTCTTATTCTCTGACTATGGTATACGATGGAGGAGGGTGACCATAAACTACACGCAAGAAGTGATTGAAATCGTTTGATGCTATACCATCTTTTGTGAGATACCTAATCTCAACATGATTTTGAATTTTTTCAGTTTTTCAAAAAATATCAAAATGATTAAATGCCAAATGTTGAACTTAACAAATGAAGAGAGATATGAACTCATTTTTTTGTGGAACTACTGTTGACAGTTCATACCTCAATTACAGCACAAGAATGATTTGAAAACCCTTCTCTTAATATGCTAGGCTAGAAACTTTTCTCTCTCCCTGTATAAGGACATTTTTAAAGCACAAAAAAAAAGAATAATAATCTGAATCACGACAATTAAACAATTCCTATTTAAAATTTTATATTTTTTATTAAAAATATCACAATATGTTTATTATGCTTAACTACGATTTATACGACAAATTTCGTAGAAAATGTAAGTATATAATCTAATCAGTTTCTCGGTTATCTTTGTTGTTTTGGTCAATTGTAATCTGTTTCCCAAGTAGGATATGACTCAAAACACTCAATGCATCTTTAACAGCATGATAAATTATATTTTTGATTTGTAGTTTATCTTCGTGATTTGAATGAGTGTCGGAAAGTGTTCGAAACTCCTGTGTTAAATGGAAGCATTCAGACACATTCTCCGGACTCACAAAGTCTTCGGCCACTTTGATGCAATTCAATAAATTACGTACTTGATGCGGTGCACCAGCAGGTATAAAGACAGAATCACCTAAACATTGTGCAATCGGATATCCCTCAACACCGTATTCTTTGTATAATCGTTCACGTAATTTACTATCCAAATACCAGCTTTGATCATGAATAGCATCATGACTTGGTTCTAATCGTTCCCCACGTTCAATGGCTACTTTATTTAGCAAATCTCGAATTTTGTTTGCATCTCGTGGTGCGAAAATGTGCCTGGTTTGATGAATGAATGTAGATTAATTTTAATTCATTTCAATTTTTAAGTGAAATTCATAAAGATAAATAAGAAGAAGATAATTACCATAATGCTCCAGGAAGTTCGTTCTTTTCTCTGACTCTTCTTCTTTGTAAAATATCGCATCCGGCTTCATCAATAGCACGATATGCTTTTTTGATCATTTCATCATTATCAGCGGTGTCTTTTGGTATACCAACATAAACCATAACATTAACAGCATCGGAAATATCCAAATGCAAGTTTGTTGTTCCCTTTGTTGGATGCGCAACAGATCCATATGCATTGTACATTTTTGGTCCAAGATCAGGTTTTACAAAACATTCAGGTAATCGACTCGCAAGATTGAATTTTCCATTTCTCTTTGTATAATCACAAAGTGGCAAAGATTTCATTAAATCAGTAAACCGTGTTGGTAGAGTCTCTGAAAAATCTTCACCCGGCGGCCAATCTTTTAGTTTCAACAACATGAATTCACCATTTTCATCTTTAATACGTTTATTAATGCAATCAAAACCTTCCCAAAACCGTTTCATAGGCTGATTTGGTACTAAAGTTCCTGTCAAACAATTTATTAAATCATTTGCGTCCTCACCAAAATCTCGCGAAAATGATTCTGGTCGCCATAAATCCATGTTCAAGCACTTATTGACATGGGAAACTAAAACTGGTTGACCACGTTTCCATTGCTCTTGAAATATTTTTAAGTTATTCACATCGGTGGGATCAAGTAATCTTAATAATTTACCCTCACACAACCACATGTGTTCAACATTTGGATACAACTCCTGCGATAATGTCATTGTCATAACACGAATAGGTAAGTAACGATTTCGGCGAGGTTGATTACTTATTAAATCTTCTTTGTCTTCCTTCTTTTTAGTTGATTCCAATGTATCAGCCATCATTTCATCAAATAGCTGCTTATGAGACTTTTTTGACGTCAATAGATTTTTATCTTTACTGTATGTATTATTTTTGTCGGGAGGTTTATCTTGGTTTACTGCAGACATTGGTACTGTTGTATTTGGACCGACAAGAAGATTTCTTAGGGATGAGTGGTTTTCGTCTAATGAGCCATCCTCACTCGAATCGTCTTCAAGTTTTTGATCATTCTGTTCGCTTGATTCTTCATATTGTTTAAGTTTTGAACAGTTCTCGTCACTTTTATTTTCCTCTATGGCACTATCTTTTTCAAATATATTTTGTTTTACCATAGCAACTTCATGTTTGATATTTGTTTCAGAATCCGATGATGAACAGAAATCCATTCTATTTGATTGGTGTAATTTACTATCGTTCAAAATTGACTGAATCAAATCTTTATATTTAATATTATTTTCATTTGGAAGCTCTTCGTGACTCATCAAGCAGCAGCAATTTTGTGGAATCTTCCATAATGTCCGAACGTGGTGAATGCGTCGGCCTAGTATTTTTAACGAGTCCCCAGCAACTATCTGTGTCAACATCAAACGTTCTTGGTCATGAATTGCACGATTTGTACAAACAAGCCACTGGAATTCATCTCTGTCACAGCCATTATTCCATTCATTATTCCAGACTTTCTTTTCGCCATATTTTCGAGCTTTATAACAGTCAATACATACAACAAAACCACATTTGCTACATGCCCAGTGATAGTTAAATAAACTTGTTTCACAGACATCGCACATTTCACGCACTCCTTGAACGACACGCTTCCAAGCGATTACATTACCTTTATAAAATATTATAAAAATATTTCTATTATTGACAGCTTACGAAAAACATATAGATAATTTACTTAAATTAGTATAATTAAGTTTTGTATGTATAAAAGAATCACATTTTTTTGTTGTTCTGAATTTTCCTGATTCTCATTAAAATGCGTATACAAAATACTCTGTTAATTAATGATATGTATATAGTGTAAGGTGCTTACTGTTTGACATGTTTTCTGGCATTGCCATCTTCTCCTGATGATACAGATCACAAAATTGATCGGCGACCTTTGCTAGTAAGAATCGAGCTTGTATCAAGTCCAAATCCTTTGGTGGATTTTCTGAATCTGGCATCCAAAGTTTGAGATCATCTTCGGTTGGATCTTAATGTGGAATATCATATTTTTAATAAATTGATGTTAAACTACAAATGAATGAAAAAACTTTACCTTTATGTGGATCACAAAATCCAGCAATAGCCAACAGACCTGATTTAGTATATCTGTTTTAAAATTAGAAATGAAAAAAACTTATATTTATTAAGTGTTAAATGTTAATCTTGATTTTCTTCCATTAAAATAATTCAACGAAAATACCGAAGTTTTCTGAAGGCATAAAATCGACAAAATATGTTTGAAGTATTTTTCGATCTTTGATTTGAAGTCCAGCGACATTCACGACATTTCGGCAATTTCGGGGCTACTTCACAGCAAGTTCCATCTTGTAAAAATGCTTCGCCGGTTCTTTTCAGTTGTGACAATGGTGGTCTTTTGAATAGTTCTTTACTGCTTATTGTTTTTTTCTTTTTTCTATTTGAAACGTAATAGAATTGAAACGGTCTTATTGTGATCTACAATGCAAATACAATAAATGGTACAGAAAAACTTGAAATTATTGCATTTATTCTTACGCATTTATGTTTTCGATTGCCTCTTTGGGACGACGAACTCGTTTTTTAACAATTCCTTTATCTCCTATACTATTCTCACCAGTAATATTCAAAAACTGTTTACTTTGAGAGGTTTTGGTGCTATCACTAACTTCGTCTGACATTCTTTCTTTGTCACTATCACCACTTTCACTGTAACTTCCACTGGCCACGTTTATATCGATTCCTTCTTGGCTCTGACTATTGTTTCTGCTTTCAATTGATTTCCAAAGTTTTATTCTTTCTCGATTGCCTTTTAGAATTTTCCGTTTTTGTGGCGACGACTATAATAAATAATTTTAAATGAAAAGTAGTGCATAAAAAGCTCCCATATATAATTGAATTTTTATCTGGTGGATTATTATACTGTGTAAAACGTAATAACTAACTTTGACATTTTTTCATTATTAATCTAAGCAGTTTGACGCTATTGCACATCAGCGACATCTTCAGATAAAAATAATATAGTTCAATATAGTATAACCAAACGTATAAGTGTGTATTTACCTGATCTGAACAGGAGCTGTCGCAACCATCGTCATGCATTGCAAACGTCAGTTCTGGTTTTTATTTCAAAAATGTTGAAAAAATATATTAATATTTATAAAAAGCGAAAGTTCGATTACCTAGAGTTAATCAGAAGAAAAGAATGGAAAAAAATGAAATGAATCAATTAGTAATGGAACGGAATGGAAAATGAATCGAAGGAATGAATCAGGAATTGTAGAGCAATGGAATTTTAGTTCGATTACCTTTTCCTTTGCTTGTGTTATTTGAAAATATTGTGGATTCTAAATTTGAGGAATGGTTAGACGTCCGATTGACATCATCATTATTGGGAATAGTATCTCTTTTAGTAGTGGTTCTGAATAATATTTCTTTCGAAATGAAAATTGGATTTTGATGAGTTTGTACATCTTCAAAATCATCGCAGATGGTATGGTGGTGTCGTTGAAGCCACGCTTTTTTTAAATGTCTAGGAGCAACTGCAACAAAATAATATGAATCGGTTAAAATATTCGTGATCTCAGGAAATTTCTTAAAGTAAAAGAGCAACATGTTCATATAAAAAATGTATGGGCACGTTGCAGTTTTATTTCGACAAATACTGTTGTAATACAGAGCCTGAAGAATAATTATTATTTTAATGTATTTGATGAAATTATTCATTGTGGTTTACCTGAACTGGGGACTTTCTCAAACTTCGTGGAAAATTTGATCGGTGTTGTTGGCTCACTTTGTGCTGAATTCGGACTTGAATTTGTACTTGAAAACTGCAAGAAACAATCTACCAATGGCTTTTTTTCCACAATTTCACTCGTTTCAATCTTGATTCCATTATTATTACTCGACAACACTTTAGTGACGACCATAGTCTTATTGTTACTGCTCAATGTATCATCATCATCACTATGGTCCTCAATATCATATCTCCCTTTGGAAAATATAAAGGTTTGGTGTGATAATTTTTCCATTGTATTTGATCGCATGGTTCCGTTTGATATTTTGCTATTTTTATTTTCGTCAAAGGTATCTGAATTAAGATCATTGGAGTTTACTAGATCTACTAAAAGTTGATCATCATGTGCTACATTACGGTGGCGATAAGAAGTGCCTAGATCAAGTGGTACTGACTGAATTGATGACATGATAGTTGATAAACCTAAAACATTGGAATTAGGTGTTGAAGATTGAATTTGAATTCCTGGTGAGTGTGATATTTGTGCTGCCGTAATTATCGGTGATGATGTATAAGACTTCCGAATATAAGAATGTGCAGGTGGTGGCTCTATAATGATTTTAGTTTGTTTGTTTAAAGAAGAAATATATTTACTTGTATCAATAATGTTTATCTTAAATTCGATATAATTGAAAGCGTAGACTGTTTGCATAAAGATTACAGATTCCAATTTAATATTTCCATTTGTTTTATTTTTATACATATATTGACACATGTTTATTAAACGATTCTTTAAATCTTTTTTAATAATGAGATTTTGATCATTTGATCAAAAGTTGTTAAGAATATTCCATTGATTGTAATATGCGCGGCTCGATTTGAAACATTACATCGATTCAACAAGAGAATGAGTTAACCGTTGCTTAGCAGATCACAAGGAATAAGTCATCGATGATCTTTCATAGTTAGAAGCGAGCTCAGTAAAAATAAAGAAAGTCCGGTAATGTACAAATTGAAGCATAAAGAAATTATGCCAATTGCGAGCGACGCAAGAAAGAAAAAAGTCTTATCAATTCAAAGTATACCGAAATTGTGGACTCGAATTGATTTTAGGATTGCCATCAAAAAGCCAAGTTGGTTGGAGTTGGAAAAAATCTGTTTGGAGTCACGCTTAGTCAAAAACTTGAGTAAAAAATCATCGTTTTTTTATTATAACTAATTAGTTGAGTCTTATTAGTTATAACTAACACATTTAACTAATTGATTGCTCCAGAATAGACAGCTTAATGAATGGCTGCATATCAAAGCGAAACCAGACGTTTTTTATATAGATTTGTTGTTGTAATCCATACATGATGCATAGATCATCATGATGACGGAATTTTTTTTTTTTGGGGGGGGGGGGGTGATGGCAAATTTGCGTAGGGGGTCCCTGACGATGTCAACAAGTTTATAGGAAATGAGGATAAAATCGTTTTGTTTGCTTTTCACTTTTTTGACGAAAATCCCTAAGAAATCGGAAGAATTTTCCAACTTCAAATTCCCTTGCAAATCAAAAAATGACAATAAAATTACTTTTTTTGCTCTTCACTTTTTTGGCTAAAACCCCTAGCAAATCGAAAGAATTTTCTCCGCCCAAAAATAGTGAAGAGCAAAAAAAGGTCCTCATTTCCAATAATGTTGAGGGTTCCTAAAAAAAATTTGATTGGGGGTAATCCGGGTAATCCATCACCTATGGTTAATTTGCATTAACAAGATATTCTTTGGTTAAAACGATCAAAAAACACATTTTAAAGAAGCGATAAGATTACTGCCTAAAATGATAAAAAAATAAAATTCACGTATAGTTGGCGCTACATTCTATGTAATAAGCGTATACTTTCCACTTAGTCCGCTGCAACGGAAAACAAGTTTGCATAGAATGTAGCGCCAACTATATGTGAATTTTATTTTTTATCGTTTTAGGCAATAGATCCATGGTTTTCTTATGGCTTCTTTATTATTTAATTTCGCGACAAATATTAACAAATAATGAATGTTGCTCAATCAAATCAACATCGTGGAAAAATCCGCATCAATCTTGAATTAGTAATCTACCTGATTGAAAACTGTTCAAAATACGCATTCCTGAATCGGGTTTAGCTTTAATTTGATCAGTAGATAATCTTTCTGGTCGTCCATATATTTTAGTTGGTGCTGGTGATGAAACCTTTGGTTTTGCTTGTGAAATCGATGAAAAGAAAGGTGTTTGCTGCGGGATATGTAAATATTATTTCGTCATCTTAATGAAATATTTGAATGTTTAATTGAATACTTTCAATGGCGGAGACTTACAGATTGCGTCACTTGTAGTGGATGCGAATATTGGTCGTGTGAACTGAAAAAGAACAAATTTGATCGATATCTCTATATAAAAATAAAAAAATGAGCGATAACGTGAAAACATACTATGTTTGTTCTTTTTTGGCTGTACTAAGTGGTGAGACTGTGGTAATGTTTTTGAAGTGTAACAGTTGATGTGCGTTTGCCTGTGATTGTGATTGCAAGTTTTGAATCTAAAGAAAGAGTTTATATTTATATTAAATAATATTGAAAATTTACAATATTTGCTATCCATATTTTCGGATAAAGATGTTTTGTCGTTTTTCGAAAAACAAATTTAATTTGCTATCCATAAGCAAAAAAATGTCATAGTCAAATTTTCATCAAATCATTTATAACCACTGAGAATAAATATATAAAGTTTTTTTTACACACTTTAGTGTTTAATTATTTAACGGCTGAGCCCCTCTTTATTTGACTGCATTTATTTTTTTATATTTTCGTTGGAGGTTAGACTGGGCCCCAAAACACAAATGTTGGGATTTCATCGGTCTTACCCCCGGGTATTTCTCCATACGGTATGTAGCAGTAATGTGCGAGCTACATTTTACAGGGAATGGAGAATGAATAACAAATTTCGTTTTTTTTGCTCTTCGAATAATTTCGAGGGAACAAAATTTCCTCGTCAATATTACAGGGGGGGGGGTAAACCCCTCTTTTCGCACATTACTGGTGTATAGCTCATCGCTACATGGTATAGATGTGCCAAATCCGATATGTTAATACATTTTGTATTATGATAATATTTTATTAGGATGCTATTAACTATTAACAACCAATCATACTACGCATAATAACATGAGTAGTAGAAATAAGATCGATGTTAATAGCGAGTAGTAGTATGTTTATTATCTATTAAGATGTCGAAGTTAATACGCGCCATTTGCAATTTTGCACAGCAAAATACAAGTGTGAGTTGTGTGTTAGTAGAATGT